CTTCTTCTCTGCGCTAGTAATTCGTTTTATAGCTTATTTGCTTTGTTTGATTTCATGCCTATTTTTGTTTGGTTTTGCACAAAGCATATGTTTGTTGTGTCTAATAAGACTGTAATTTATGGTGTGCCACACCTTCCCTATCTAAAAAGATAGCACAAATCCCATTTTTATTCTTCAAAATTACTCCGTATATATTATTCCTTCCGTCCCAAAAAGAATTCCACAGCTACTATTTCGGCCTCTCAATAACTTTTGCTTGTTTACTCGTTTTGGTTGAAGATTCGACAAAATCAAATATTCTTGTGGCATCTCGTTTTGTAAAACTTTTGATGTACTTTTGAAGGGTATAATTTTTACTCTTTATTTCTCTACCAATTTGTAAATAAAATGATTTTAAAAGAGATGATGTTTTGCACGCCTTCGAAATGTAGCAAAGAATTTGGGACAGAGGGTGTAATACCCAATGCTTCCCATGATATTAGGAAGTACCCGGGGGGCCTACAGTGTCCATTAAAAAAAGGCTGTACCTACACCTGACTCCCCCTATAAACGCTTCCACCCCAGCCTCTAGCCCTACCGACCCCAACCCCCTCCAATTGCACCTCACAGATTTAGTTGACACTGTGGTCAAAATTTAGTTGACACTGTACCTACACCTGACTCCCCCTATAAATGTGTGGGGTGCAATCAGAAGGGTGGAGGGTCGGTTCGGGTCTTGGGCCGGGATGAGCATTTACTCTATTAATATGCCAAAAACTGAATTACATCCAATCACTATGCAACCTTTATTTTTCTTCTTTCCTGTTGGGTGTGTGAGTGTGTAATGCTTTTGTTGATGACGTCCAAATTTAATTTGGAGGTGGGTGTTTGCTTTGGTGTGACCAGGCTGAATTACCCAAAACCTGTGAAGAAGAAAACTGGAACTAGTCGGTTCACTAAACCAAAAAGGAGGAATGCATACATCTGTTGTAGTAATAAGATGGGGATAAGGGGTATTTGGTTGCACCGACTTTCTCCCCCCTCACAGAAATTAAGAAGCAAGTTCCGGGCGCGCAGAGACAGGAATCAATCCCGATGCCGGGTTCAGGAAAAGGAATTAGGATCCGGAAATCCGCCGGAGCCACAAGGTACAATGTTTTTCTTCATTTGTTCTTCTTCATTAATATATATATGATATGTGAGTCTATGTGTATACACGCACGCACGCACATGTAAAATGTGATTTGCGTGTTGTGAACATTTCACTTTTGCAAACAAAATAGATGATGCACGTGAGAAGAAAGAAGATTTGGACGACTCTATGAGTGACTCATCATCATCATCATCATCACAAGAAGAAGAAGACTCAAGAAAAGGACACGAGGAAGAATCGAAAGAGCATAAGAGTGAAGTAGAGCTGGAGTACGGCCCATGTAGTGAGGACGCTCCCTGTAGACTTTTCCGGGAACTGCCGGAGGACACCCCGTGTAGGGTATGCCTTCGGATGGGCTGCAACATTCTTGTCTGTCCCTTGTACTGGGGTAAGGTCCCTCCTTGGGTGACTGAAGTTGGAGAGGACTATCGAATTGCTTGTCGGCTATGCAATTGCATTGATGATCGGTGTGGGCACTATGGTATGAGATATGTTCGTCTTAAACGTCGTATCATCCGCAAAACAGCTTGATCGCCCGATGTTTGATCCATGATGATGCACTATTTATAACTACTCTCTATAGTATTTTATAAAATGAGAAGTGATATGATTATTTTATTTTGTCAAATGTTTAACACGACCATCCAGTGAGAGAAGACGTGATTTAAGAATATGAATATTAATGTGGGATCTTTTTGTGAGATTGAAGAGTACATTACTTCAAACACCATAGGTACTAATGCCATGGGCCCTTCAACACGGGTTAAAGGAGACTTGATGACGGGTCACCCTACCGGCCGGCAAGCTGTGAATATAATTGGTACATTCAGATTGTTCGAGACGACCAAGGTGTGGGAATGAAATGGGTTGTGCTTCTCCTTTGTTGGAGGATTAGCCAGTCCTCGGAATCGTGGCCCTCAACGAATCCTTGCACAAAATTCATATATGGAGTATTTGATAAATACTATTTTTGTCTTAATGTATTTATTTAGTTTGCTTTTTTTTAAATAAGTTAGATAAACTTTATTTAATCTTAATTTGTATTGGATGTTGGTATAACTAAATAAAATTTTAAAATACTTAAGAAGATAAATCTAATAGAGTCATTTTTATATAAATATACATTACGCTTTTTATTGAAATTCAATATTTTTTTAGTTTGATTAAAAAAAGGCAAACTAGACAAGCACACTGGCAATGTGAGAGTATTTCATAACTATATCAAATAATCATATTTTATACATTCAGATCATTCTAGACTTGATTAGAGTACCGGTGGATTGGCTATATGGTTGGTACATTCACATTGTTTAAGATGACCAAGGTGTGTGAATGGAATGGGTTGTGCCCCTCCTTTGCTGAAGGATTAACTAGTCCTCAAAATTCTGACCCTCAGCCTCGAAATACAACAAGGGTTTTTTACACCAAAAATACAGAAAATTACTCAAGGGCACCCTCAATTTTACAGTAAAATTTGTATGTTCCACATCATCTAAAATATATCTCAGGATACCTTCTATTTTCTGGTAAGATCTCATAGATCTCGCATTATCTAAAATATACTCTGGAAGTTTTTAAATTTGTGGTAAAGTACTCCGAGGGTACATTCTTTAAAATTTAAAAGACCCCAGAGTATAATTCAGATAAAGTGAGACATGTGAGTTCTTATCGAAATATACAAGGTACCTCGGAGTATATTTCAAATAACGAGAGAAATGTGAATTCTTACAAGAAAATTGAATGTACTCCAAAATAATTTTTTGCCAAAAAATATGCGTATCAAGTTTACGAGATTGTTTTCTTGACATTTGTCTCAAGTGTCATCACATGACATATATTTCAATTGTGCTCTATGGTTTTTCGTTCGAAAATTTAATAGTTCTTACCTTCTAACTCCATCCTACATCCTCTCTCACCCCAAAGCTCCTCTTTTCAACGACAATTTGTAATAACAACTATTGTAAGAAATTGACTTAGGAGGAGATGCAAGACAGTTTATGAGTTAAGAATCATCAATTTTTTTTAACCCTCACGTTTAAACTATACTTCTGAGTACATATTTTTTTATTTTAATAAAATTTAGAAAGTAAATTTTATATTTATTCCGTATTATTTATGGACAAAAAAAGAATGAGATGTTATTTGTGAGGGTAAGGGCAACATTTCACACACAAAAGGTTTCCAAAAAAAAAATAAAAGAAAATTCATGGATGGACGAATAAAGAGAACAAAAAAAATATCAAGAGTAATTGAGAACCCTAAAAGCCATTGCTGATTGAGTTTCCTTTTATCTATCCTCTCCCTCTAGACTGTGAAGGCATGGTGAAGGTCTCGGATGCGAAGCGAAATTCTATGTCTCCGACCCTGAAAAGGGGGCCTCGGTCCGGGTAATAGATCTGATTTCGTCCTTGATTTTGTGTTTACGTTTCCCCCCCTTTATATCATCTGCCATATCTTCTCATATGCGCTCGTAATTTGTTTTATTGCTTGCTTGCTTTGTTTGATTTCATGCCTAACTGTGTATGATTTTGCACAAAGCATGTGTTTGTTGTATCTAATAAGACTGTAGTTTATGGTGTGTCTCACCTTCCCTATTCAAAAAGATAGCACAAATCCCATGTTTTTCTTCAAAATTACTCCGTAGATATTACTCTCTCCGTCCCAAAAAGAATGCCACAACTACTATCTTGGCCTCTCGATAGTTTGCTTTTTACTCGTTTTGGTTGATGATTCGACAAAATCAAATATTCTTGTCGCATCTCGTTTTGTAAAACTTTTGATGTACTTTTGAAAGGTATAATTTTTACTTTTTATTTTTCTACTGATGTGTAAATAAAATGATTTTAAAAGAGATGATATTTAGGTGACAGGTTAGTAGAAAGTATTACTGCTAGAATAGTAGAATCACTATCTGGGCATCTAAACACCTATCCTATGCGGGGAGGTGTAGGTTGATCAATAGTGTGTTACTTGGTATAATGACCTTTTGGTGCAAACTGTTTGTAATTCCTACTCGAGTGATGAGAATTGTGCAGAGCATCTGTAGGAATTTCCTGTGGGGTGCAAAAGCCAACTATGGCAAGAGACCGCTGGTTAATTGGGAGGAAGTCTGTCTCCCTAAAACTTATGGGGGCTTGGGTTTAAGGAATATGATTCTGTGGAATAGGGCATATATTCAAAACTATTGGTGGGATGTGGCAAACAAAAAGGACTGCTTGTGGGTTAAATGGATCCACGAGAGATATATGAAGGATGGGGTGTCAAGTTATAAATCGGTAGGGGATAAATGTTTCTATTGGAAAAAGATTATGCATAATAGGGGTTGGTTTGAGAAGATGGATTTAGCGGGTGAGTATACTACTGAAAAAGGCTACTCTTGGCTTATCGGGTTGAGAAATAGAGTGGACTGGTACCCCCTGGTATGGAACAAACTCTCATTGCCCAAGCACCAGTTCCTGATGTGGCTGATATGCAAGGACAGATTAAACACCAAGGCAAGAGTTGGAAGGTTTATTAATATTGATACAAGTTGTGAGTGTTGTGAAGGAATAGAGGAGGATGTGAATCATCTGTTTTGCAACTGTAAGGTAACACAAGCTATCCTTAAAAAACTGTCAGCATGGTTGGAGTGCAAAATAGGCGGGGGGAGTATTGAAGAGATCAGAGATGGCCTAGGGAGGATCAAAGGCAAGAAGAAACTAAGGTGTATGAGTGCTTTTTCTGCAGGATGTTATGCTATTTGGAGGGCTAGGAACAAAAGCTTACATGATAAGGAAAAGCTGCGGGGAGAAGAAATTTTTGGCTGGGCTATATCACAACTTAATATTTTTTGGAGTAAACATAAAGTTTAGAAGGCCGGTAGGTGCTGGTCTTAGTTGTTGGTCTTAACTGTTTGTTTTGGTTTTTGAGTTTGAGATGTAATAGATCATGTATACTTGCAGTTTTGGTGATGAATGAATATGTGCATTTGTTTCAAAAAAAAAGAGATGATATTTTGCACGCCCTTTGAAATGTAGCAAAGACTTTGGGACAGAGGGTGTAATACCCAATGCTTCCCATGATAATGGGAAGTACCCGGGGGGCCTACAGTGTCCATTTAAAAAAATGGAAGTACCTACACCTGACTCCCCCCCATAAATGCTTCCACCCCGGCCTCTACCCCTACCGGCCCCACCCCCCTCCAATTGCACCTCACAGATTTAGTTGACATTGTGGTCAAAATTTTGACCAACGCCAACTAAATTTGTGGAGTGCAATTAGAAGGGTGGAGAGTCGGTTCGGGTCGCGGGCTGGGGATGAGCATTTATATTAATAATTTGTCAAAAACTGATTTACATCCAATCACTATGCAACCTTTATTTTTTTTCTTTCCTTTTGGGTGTGTGAGTTTGTAATGCCTTTGTTGATGATGTACAAATTTGGAGATGGGTGTTTGTTTTGGTGTGACCAGGCTGAATTACCCAAAACCTGTGAAGAAGAAAATTGGCACGAATCGGTTCACTAAAAAAAGAAGTGTATACATCCCTTGTAGTAAGATGGGGATAATGGGTATTTGGTTGCACCGACGTTCTCCCCCCTCAAAGCAATTAAGAAGCATGTACCAGTCTCGCAGGAAACAATGCAGGGTTCAGGAAAAGGAATTAAGATTCGGAAATCCGCCAAAGCCACAAGGTACAATGTTTTTCTTCATTTCTTCTTCTTCTTTTCTATACTCCCTCCGTCTCATATCTTTCTTTACGTTGTGCAAAACGAAGAAAATTCCCAAGTTTTATTTGATATGTTTTTATTTAAATATTGATATAGAAATAAACAATAAAACTTACATATTTAAAGTTACATCAAAAGTTACATAAAACTAGTGACAAGAACATTTTATTTTATCATATAGGTCAAGAAAAAAATACAAATAAGTAAAAGTTCTCATGAAATTGGAACAATGCTCTGGAAAGAAAAGTATGAGACGGAGGGAGTATATTATACGTGTGTGTATATGTGTATACACGCACGCACATGTAAAATGTGATTTGCGTGTTGTGAACATTTCACTTTTGCAAACAAAATAGATGATGCACGTGAGAAGAAAGAAGATTTGGACGACTCTATGAGTGACTCATCATCATCATCATCATCACAAGAAGAAGAAGACTCAAGAAAAGGACACGAGGAAGAATCGAAAGAGCATAAGAGTGAAGAAGAGCTGGAGTACGGCCCATGTAGTGAGGACGCTCCCTGTAGACTTTGCCGGGAACCGCCGGAGGACACCCCGTGTAGGGTATGCCTTCGGATGGGCTGCAACATTCTTGTCTGTCCCTTGTACTGGGGTAAGGTCCCTCCTTGGGTGACTGAAGTTGGAGAGGACTATCAGATTGCTTGTCGGCTATGCAATTGCATTGATGATCGGTGTGGGCACTATGGTATGAGACATGTTCGTCTTAAACGCCGTTCCTTCCGCAAAACAGCTTGATCGCCCGATGCTTGATCCATGATGATGATGCATCTCCTGCTGTCTCCCCACCCTTTTCCGTATTTATTAATTATCATTAATAATTATAACAATGCAGCACCTTGCATTGTTTGTTGCTTACTGTACGAATTGCAAATCCATCCATACTTTTTTAATATGAACATTTGATCCGCGTGTGTGATCTCTGTCTGCATGTGTTGTTGTCAATGCCAAAATGCTATGGATGTATCATTAGATGTATCATCCTCTTTTCATTCCACTACCACTAGGAACTCAAATTTGCTCCTCCCGGGCCTCAACCACGATTCCTTGCACAAAATTCTTAGAAATTTTTTTGTTATTTTGTGGGTGTTTCTTTGTATTTATTAGCTGGCCAAAAATGCTTATAAGCAGTTTTTAATTTATAATTCAGCTGATGACATGTTTTTTTTGTGCTTATAAATTGACTTATAAGTTGTGTATAAATCAAAAAAAATAAGTATGTCTTAGCTACTTGATATTTTGTGGGTGTTTCTTTGTACTTATAAGCGGGGCAAAACTCTTTAGAAACCGTTTTTAACTTATAAGTTAGCTTATGACTTGTTTCTGATTAGTTATGAAGCGAACACTCTTCATTCTCCATGACCTAGCCATTGCCCTAATATGCACCGGTAGTATTAAAATTGAGATTACACTAATGTTAATGAATGAGAAGTAAATAACCCTAAATTTGTCCATTTCTTTCGCTAAATTTCAACTCTTACTATATTTTTCTTTTTTTCTCCAATCTTGCTATATCTTTCTTTCCATTTCCATAAACAAAACGAATATTCACTTTTGTATAACTAAAAGACCATCTTGCCATTAATTTAGCACTATTCAAATTTTTACATTTCTCCTCAATTTATTCCCAAAGACAGAAATGAAAAGCCAACCAAGAGTAGTTTTTCATCTTATATTAAAATTGCCAAACTAAAATGAAAAGAAAAATGCTTTCAAAAAAATTGTAAAGAAAAGTATACAGACAAAAAATATGTACTACTGGTAGTATATAAAGAATACATACAACACTAAACCCACTTACACTATGTTTGGTTCAAAAAAATTAAGAGGGAAAAGAAAATAAAGTGTGTAAGAAAATATTTTTCTTGTTTGATTAGAGAGGAAAAAAGAAAAGAAAAGAAAGATACAAGGTAAAAAAAATGAAAAAACAAAATGTACTAAGAGAAAGGAAAACCAAATTCTTCTAATTTGATGAGAAAAATGAAAGAAAATTATTTATTCTTTTCTTTCAAATTCCTTGAACCAAACATAGTGTTAGTTTCTAAATAAACACATAGTGTTAGTCCCTAAATAAACGGTGTACAATTAGCCAAGTACCTCATTGTCACTGTACGACAGACGCAAACTAAATGTGCAAAATTATGGGTCATATTACTCATATAGCTGTGCAACACCACTAAACTAAATGCCATCAAAATTTTCACACAAAAAAAGGTCCTATTTTGATTGAAACCTACTCTGTAAATGTATAAATACAACAAATATTCCAACGAAACAAAGAATAAATTGCTGCACTGGTAAATGCACAGACAACCTTTCAGCCTTCTCTAGCTTCTTATCAAATTACACGCCCCTTAAAATCTATAAACATTTCCTTTGATATTGTTTAGAGAAATGTTCTCTAAACAAGCATGAGCTTGTGGGGTCTTTAGCAGCACCTCAAGGGTGGCACAAACTCATGGAACGCATCCTTATCATCAAGAAGATGTTGGGGTGGTGCCGATGAAGAATGGGTAGAAAAGGACTTGACACTTGATCCAAATGTTTCCTTGAGGAAATGGTGTATCTTCTGAAATAGTTTGCTACATTAGCACCACAGCTGACTCCAAGGACAACGCACCTACAAACAAAAACAAAAACAAAACAAAACAAAACAAAACAACTGTGTTAGAGGGTAGCTGATGATTCCGTGTTACGTTCAGTCCTTTGAAACCCAACTAGACACTGACTCGAGCGATGCACAGCGAAAATTTTATCTAACGACAAACATAATGAAATATATAAATAACTTATAATTGTAGATAAAATGATAAGTCACTAAACTCCAAATTTATTTAAATTGTTGGTATTGTGAGTATAAAATAAGCAAGTCCTCTAGCTAATATGTTTTGGTCATTACAAATCTATATCTTCAACATCTCAAGTCTTGTTGATTAGTCACTTGTGAAAACTACGCCTAATATTTAAAGATTCTTTTGTTGGAACTACACTAATGTCATAAAGGACTTGCAACAAATTGTAAAAACAATGAAGAAATTGACCCAACCCAAGCACCTTCATAAGCTAGGTCGCAACTGCAGTTGTGAAGTCAAGAGAGTTGCTGCCTCCTAGTATTTGTAAAGCTCTCCATTGGGTATGGAATACGATGGCTCTGCTTTACACAGTATCTTGATCTGTGGAGCTTTTGTCACTTTGAGAAAAAAAAAAATATTAATATGGAGTTTCGGTGCTACTCGCAAGAGAAACTGGAGTGTATCTTGGTGGAATACGGCAAGGCTTCATAGTCTTCCCAAGCTCTGTTTCATTTTCTCTGCATTATAGTGAAGACGGGATGGAGCATTTCCTACCATGCCATTCCAGGTACCCTGAATGATTTGCTCTACTAATTGCAATGTGCTTTGAAAACTTTTGTGGAATATCGTAGTACCCATGGGAACATCTCTTATAGAAACTCTCTTTGCCAACTACTCAATGTCTATAGAAGCTCCCTCTACCACTACTCAATGTTTGACTTCTGCTTGAAGTTACCTCACAAACGCCACCATTTAGGTAAGCCCAAATGGTTCCTACCAAGTACACGTGCACAAAACTTGATTATTAACTCTTTTGACACCCCAATCTATGCTGCATGTTAGTTAGTTTTTGGAAGAGAGTGGTTCTAGAAGATATCACCATTATAAAGGAGAACAAAATTACATTGCTACATCCTCTAATTTCAAAAAACAATCAGCAAAAACTACAACATTTTATCAAATTAAAAATAGGGGTAAAATGAATAAAGATGCGTATTGGATAAACAAAATTTAACAACACCACACAACCCACATTATGAAGTAGTATTAAGCTTAAAGTCTTGCTCAATTACCAAAGTATTTACATTTTGCAAGCAGATAGTTGATATTCCAGAACCATAAACTTGATGAAAATCTTCAAGTACAAAGGGATTAAGAATCGTATTTGACATGTAAGCCCAATCAATTACTCAAATGCATCGTTCAAAATTAAAGATTAAAGATTAAGAACACGATAATTGAAGTGGTCTACCTTCACTTATAAAACTTTCAATTAAATAAGGTTTGATCAATAGAGCATAGTCTCTCTTTTTTCTAATAGGGCTACTCTGACATGTGGCTTTCATTCACATTTTGCTTGTGTCGTTGATTTGGACCAAAGAATAAAATTTCAACTATTAAACATCAAAGTATATATTAATAAAAGGATGAAAATCTGGAATACTTAAGCCAAAAGTAACAAAAACAGAAACACTTACTGGAGCTGAATTTCAAAAATAGAACCCATGATCAAAGTTTTATATCCATCTGAACGATGGACGTAAAGCTGGTTTCAATCGCATTGCATTCTCCTTTCTAAATAATATGTGATATTACTTGATTAAAAAAAGAAACAGAAACTTAAATCTTAAAAATTATGTTACTTTCAGCCAAACTTCAAAAATAGAACCCATAAAAATACTATATATTCCATCAAAAGATGGCCAAACAACCATATTTAACCCCATACTGAACATTGTAAACTCCATCCATAAAAGCAAATTCTTGAGGACAAATGAATTTAAAAATGCATTAATGCTCTCATTTTTGCTATATCAAAACGTCTCAAATAGATTAAATCACAAATAGATAAAATCTTCAATAGGTATGCACTTAAACTGGGTCCTGGAATAAACAACAATATGAAATCCTTTGTTTATAATTATAGAACGTTTTATTAATCAAATCTAAAACACTTTTGCAATAATAGTACTTATTACTCCATATAAGAAAACAATTCAAAGGAGATAAAGAACATAAATCAGCAACAATTTACCAAGTATTAGCCTTCAATTGCCTCAATCGTCTGCCCTTTTTCCCCATCTCCCTCCGGCCTCCACCGTTAGAGATTTTTTATTGGAAACTCAAAATCATAAATTAAACAATCCAAATATCTTTTCTTAAAAATAAAATAAAGAAAAAATTTGCCGTGTCTTTGTGCCTGGGATTTGCGGAGAACTGAAGGCCCGAAGCGTGGCGCCAGAAGCCAGCCTTAACAATCGGACTGGAGGGCTAGGAGGTTGAAAATTTTGCCATGTCTTTGTTGTTTCTACTCCATGACTATTTGATTTAAAATTTGGGGGCTAGGAGGTTGGCAAGGGAGTGGAGCAGTTTTTAATATTGTTGATGGGTTGCGTGAAATAATGGGATCAGAGCTTGGCTGGTTAATTGGGGAGTAGAACCTTTATTATGGTTGATGCTCCGGAACCGTAAAAATATTTAGGCGGGAACTTTTTCATGCCGCTTATGTAAAGAGTGAGATAAATTTGAAGTGGATTGTAAATATTGTTTGGTACTCCATTCGTCCCATAAAAAAGGTGCCACCTTTGAATTGGCACGGAGATTAAGAAAAAGGAAATTGTGTGGTTGAGAGTAATGCAGAAGAGAGAAATTTTTAATGGAAACAAACTCTTTTCTAAAAGTGGAAATCATAGTTCTTTAAGGCGCGATGCACAAAGGGGCTCCAGTGCTTCGATCCGCGCGTTGAGGCACAAATAGCATTGCATCTATAAAATAGTAATAGTACATATAAAATGTTGAAAAGCATAAGAAAATTTTAAAAAGCAGCCAAGAATCAAAGTATAGACTTCATGGATTTTATTACAAATTAGGAAATTGTCACTCCCATTTGTTTTTGTGAACATCCAAACATACTTCCATCCGGGATCATTAGAAATTGGTCCTTCAGTTCTTGATCTTCAAACCCAAAATCTAGAGATTCTTCCATACATGAAACTTGAAAGAGTGCATAAAAATATAAATACAAGGAAAACAGGGGAAAACCTCTCAAAAAAAAAAGAATCTGAAAAAATACTCTGAGAACAAATAATGAAAGGAGTGACTAACTTACTTACCTAATTCTCAAATCTCAAATACTAGATCAATTTTTAATCTCAATCCGAAAAAAAATATTAAATTTAATTTCAAAGTAAAATTGCAAGATAAATAAAAAACTGAAATTTAATAAACAGCTCATACTATATTAACTGAATTCTCAAATTTTACTACATCAGCTTTTTACTCAAATGTCAAACTCTTAAAACAATTAAAACTAAAAGTAAAAAAAGAAAGTTGAAGAAAAATAATGGCGAAAATGAGCACGTCCCACATGTTCTTTTCTCTCTTTTCCCTATTTCTCCCCAAACCAAGCAACAAACTTTTTCCTTTTCTCTCATATATCTTTCTTTCTTTTCAATTTCCCTCTTACTTGTCATAAACAAGGCATTACCGAGTCCAAAACCAAAGGGTGTCCAAAACCAAAGGGTGCAAGCATCCTAATGATTCTACAGATAGGGCACACCAACCTTCTATGGTGACCAGGACCTCAAATTGTTGCGAGCAAAACCCAAAAAGGATCGACATGTGAAAATCAAGAATAAGTAACCTCTAATTGCATTTTAAGCAAGAATTCGTACTTTAGAGTAACTTGTAGCATGCTTGCAAGTTAATCACAATACACAGAGTGAGATATAGGTATTGATAGCACTAAAGAAAAGATCTTCTCCCAAACAAGGTTAAAATGGCTTCTCAGCACTTCATTATTATTTTAAAATTTCAAGATTAATTGATGAAAGGCTTCCCACTACAGATGGAGATTGACCCTTTAAGCAACTGTAACTTTAGATAATACCAAATGCAATGGGCCAATGAGCTCAATAAACAAGAAATGATGTTGGATCAAACTATTTAGCTAAAGGAAAAAAAGAAGTGTATATGCAGTAGCAGCAATACAGAAAGATTGGATAAGATGAAAATGAAAAGAAGAGTTTGATTATTGTACCTAGGATGGTCAGCATGGGCAGCTAACCAAGGCTCAACAATCAATTGAAGAGCAAAAACCATCAACTATTTGCCTTCTCCACCCATCTTCTCCCCCTACTACCATTCAAAACCTTCAACCCATCATCAAATGCAGCTAGGTAACGGCTCTCTGGTGCCCACCTTTAACCGACTGCCACTGCCATGGAGTCGCACGACTTGGCTATTCTTCTACAGATCAAATCATTGGCCACGGTGTCACAGGCCCTACCCACACAACTGCAATTTCCTGCAGTTCCTCCCATTCTTATCCGGCAAATACCCTCCATACCCCCCCGACATATTCCTCTCATCCCTGCAGCTCACTTGGGTTGGTTTTGGTTCATATCATTCGATTATTCAGTTTTCGAGCTATTTCAGATTCGGTTCTATGTTATTCTATTTCAGTTATTGGTTTTGGCATTCCGGGTCAGTTCACTATAAGAATTTGTTGAAATTGTAACAAAAATCTGCTACGAACCTAAATTTGTCACATATCAGTGACAAATTTTTGACTAAGAGGAATGACAAACCAAATTTCTTCCATTTTGGTGAGGAAAATGAGGGAAACCCATTTTCTTTTCTTTTCCTACCAAATTCCTTAAACAAAACATAGTGTTAGATTCATTGAAAGAAAAGAAATCAGTTGGAGCCATAAAAGGTTCAATGACTTGGTAATCATCAAGTTTAATTGTAAGATTGCAACAAGAATTCAAAAGCGCCAAGAGTAGAGAGCTGATTTTAACCCTTTGATTTATGAGGATTTTGATTTTCAGTGGGATAACGAATGGGTTAGTAATGATGTTGCTCATCCAGGACAAGATTTTTGTGGACTACAGTTGATGAAGCTATTGGCGCTTCTACTAATCTTGAAGGACAAAATGTCCCGAAGAGAGGTTGTATTAATGAAGGTAATCAAGGCACAAGTTCTAATGTAGCGACTTATCAATGCCAATGGTCTACCACCGCAACAACGTTGACTGCTCAAAAAATTTTAAGATGGTGATGGTAATTCTGAGGGAGATGTGTTTCCACATGATGATGAAGGTGTGGAAGTTGACTTTGGTCAAGCACCACTTTTCCCTAATCATGGCGTCCACAATGCGAGCAATGACGTTTTCGTTTCTACCTTTTCTTAGTATTTTGAGGCTTTGTTGTTGAGCATGTTATGGATAATAGAATATGATATTTAGTATTATTATTATTATTAATGTAATTTAGGTTTTATTAGGTGAGCGGAATTATAAGCTCCTTCGAGGTTTCTTTACGGTTCTTTCCCTCGTCGCTTTTATTGAACCGTCAGGTTAGTGTTAGGGTTTCCTTCTTTCATATATAAGGAGATGTAACCCCCTTTAGAGTTATTCAATCAATAAACAAATCAAAACCCTAATTCCTTCTCCCCTCTCGGTTCGCCGATTCTCTCTTCGCCTCAATTCTTCTTCTTCTTCCTCGTCCCATATTCTCAAGAGCTCGAAGACGCTCTGAGTCTTCCCTATCCGATACGAGTTCGTATCATTGGTGCTTTCAGTGAGAGTTCCTGCAGTTGATGCTCATGGTGATTCTATTGAAAATATTGTTAATGCCTTTCCATCGGATCTTGTCGCTGTTGATACGCACGTAGATGCACCGGGTAAGGGAGAAGTTGCAAAGGATCCAACATTGAGCAATGTCATCATCGCATGTAGCCTTGTGCCTTCGTCCAAAACGGCCCAAGTAGCAGATGTAAATTATACGCAAGCAGACATCTCACTGTCCTTTGATATCATCCAGTCCTCTGCCCATGCGAATATAGTGGAGTCCGAGTATTGGGTTTCACTGCCGGTAGCTAAGTTTGTATTTGCTCTTCTCTCTTATGTCCATCGCTATACTCCAATTTGCAGGCTTAATGAAGATCTATCATCAAGTGGGCATAATCTTTGGGTCAACATTTTCTCTCGAGTCTCGAAGCATGAGTGGGAGCCTCCACCTTGAGGACAAGGTGGTTTTCTAAGGGGGTGAGAGTGTTATGGATAATAGAATATGATATTTAGTATTATTATTATTATTAATGTAATTTAGGTTTTATTAGGTGAGAGTGTTAATTTAGGTTTTTTATTTCCAGGAGCATCTCATTAATAAAACACTCGAAGGTTATGTTATTGTGAATGTTGTAAATGGTAATGTTAACAGTTTATGTTTCTGGGAATGCTTGGTTACACGGCATAGTATCAAATAGCTCTTTTATGACAGCTTATAATTTATGCATTATTTGATTTATGGATGAAGGACGTATTGTATTTTTCTGTAACATGGTAGTTTATATTCAGGAATGCGTGCTGGTTTCAGAGGTAAACTCAGCAATCTCATGGTTCAACTTAGGAAGAATTGCGACCACCCTGACCTCTTAGAGTCTCAATTTGATGGTTCTTGTATGTTAATTTCAATTTATGGTACATATACCTCAAAACACAACAATCTTAATCTTTACTTTTTCTGGGGTTAGTTTTCTTCCCACATGTGGAGCAAATAGTTGGGCAGTGTGGAAACTGTAAAGTTTCAGTTCCTTGATAAACTGCTTGGAAAATTGCTGGATCGAAAACACAAGATACGAACTGCTAAAATGTGTTGAAATCATTCCCTGCTCATGTGCTTCTTCAATTGTCTTGTATATGAGTGAGTTAGAAGTCTTATTATCTTTACTCCCAACTCTCTGTTAATCATTGCTGGCACACCAGGTTCTGATCTTTTCTCAGTCGAATAGAATGTGAGACATAATTGAGTACTATTTTAGTCAAATGGGGTTTGAAGTCTGCAGAATTGATGGCTCTGTTAAATTGGATGAAAGAAGAAGACAGGTACATTATATTACATTGTCTATTTCTTATACAAGTGTTTTTTTCTTCAAAGATTATATAGTACTATTGTGTTTGGGGTATTCTACTTTCAATGCAAAATTTTTGTCACCAGATTCAAGAAGAGTTCAATGATGTGGGCAGCCAGTATAGGATCCCCGTGATTCGCAGATTGTGGTTCTAAAGCACAAGTCTTGGCGCGTCAAGGGTCTTATATAGGTAAAAAATACCTCCTTCCTTGATTATGATTCATTTCTGCCAAAAAAAAAAAACTCTTGCCGAATGGGCTTTCTTCTTAGTACTAGAGCTGGTCGGTTGGGGATTAATCTTACATCTGCGGACACCTGCATTTTGTATGACAGTGATTGGGTACTTCTTCTATTTTGTTCCTCACCCTTCTTTTTTCTTTTGTCTGGATTTTTTTTGAGATTCCATCCTCATTGAAATCTAGCCCTGGCACACTGGTTGAGGCATTCCCGCGTGACCTTTGGGTCGCGAGTTTGAGTTCTAGAAACAGCCTCTTATAAAAATGAAAGAATTGCTTACATCACACTAGAGTTCGTATTATACAGCAGGTTCTTTTTTTATTTCCATCAATCCAAATTGATTGTTGTAAGTTTGGCATTGCCCTTTTTCCAGAACCCACAGATATATCTACAGGCAATGGATCGATGCCATAGGGATTGGTCAGATAAAACCTGTTCATGTGTACAGGCTTGCTACTGTGAAATCTGTTGAGGTATGTCATTGGAACCCTGTGGTGGTTTTTCACGAAGTATATGTTGTATTGTTCTCTGCACATGGTGGAGTTAAATTTTGCAAATTTGTGTGTGCTTTATTAGGGCCGGATTCTGAAAAGAGCCTTTAGTATGTCAAAGCTTGAGCAATTGGTGATCGAGAAAGGCCAATTCCAGCAGGAGCGAAGCAACACAAATGCTAATGATGTCTTGCAGGTTTGTATCACTGGTCTGAAGTTGGCCATTGCGCTGTTGGGGTTGTAGATTTCTTGTGCCTATATTCTAAGGGTAATTTATGCCATCATTTTGCAGCAAGAGGACCTGTTGGCTCTTCTCCGGGAGGAAGAAAGTGCAGAATATAAGTTGGTACAGACCGATTCAGGTGATGAAGACCTGGAAAGAGTGATGGACTGCAGCTACTTACTTGCCCTTCTCAGGCATGTTCAAATGCCATTTTTCTGAAAGGGCCTGGCTGGGAGGTATTTATTCCTACCGCCACTGGTGGCATGCTATCTTCCCTTACTGAATGACTTTGTGATCAAACCACATGTTTTGGTAGTTTTTTCCAATAAAAGCAAACATCTTTTTTTGTCCTGGCAATCCCAAACATCTCTCCCTTAATATATCTGATATGGATCCATTTTATCCAAAGAATGTCCTTTTTCATGGCTATATCCCAAATTAATTTCATAATGCAAGATTTATTCCACATGATAAGATTCTTAAAACCCAAACCGCCATTCCCTTTTGGAAGGCAATTATCAAACCGCATAATAATGAAAACCTCTAATTTCTCCTAGATCAATTTCTTCCATTGGCTATAAAAGATCTTCACAAATGATACACCAATTTTTAGCTTTTCTTGTACATTATGATGACTTCAGCAATTTGCATATCTAGATGCTGAAGTTTACCCCTATACTCATCTTTTTCAAAGGGTATTTAAGTTTCTTGAGTGTATACCAAGTTAAAACCTCCCACAACACACCAAGCTTTATCAACTGAAATTCTTTGAAGAGTCTCCCATGGCTCTCTTCTTTTATTATTCATTCTGGGCATAGATAAAAGTGAGATAGAAGTCTCTGTTATCAGCAACAATCCTCCCTTGGCAGTGTATGGATGGATTGGTCAGTAACATCAAGAACATTGATGATAACATTATTCTGATTCCAAACCAGCCAAATTTCTTCCTAGAGGGTGGTCATTATTATTTATAATTGAGCCTCAGTCTCTAAATAATCTGTCCTCAATTTTGCATAAACTTACCATCTCTGACTTTAGTCTCCCAGATCCCAAAGATGAAGACATTATACTTGTTAATGAAGTTCTTATCTTCATTTTGTTTACAAGGATTGTTCAGCCCTCTTATGTTCTAGCAATCTATCATAAAAGAAAGGGAAAATGACCCTCATACTGAGTATAATATTTGCTACTAAAATTTCTACTATATACATTTAAGAATTCGTAATTAAGTACTGATTATTGATTCATTTGTTTCTAGTCGGATAGTCTTGCCCAGTCTGCCCCAAGGTTTGTTTACATACTTTTGGCCGGTGAGCATGCAGTCCATTGCAAGAAGTTACCTGGGTACATGGTTTTGTCAGTGATGTTCTAAAGCGGATAGAGATTTTGGCTAAGAAGATGGCTCCAGTATGTGATTTTTCTAACAAATCTACTTGAAGAGAGATTTACTCTACGGCTAGCCAATTTTTGTGTGTTTGAGTGGGTGGACCTTATAGATGTCTCCTCTTATTAGGCTCAGAGAAAATGGATTTGTTGTTGGTCAGACAATTTTGAAGGCAGAATAGGCAAAGTGTGTTGCTAAACACGAGAAAACTTGCTTAACAAATCAACATGTCTTTATCTCATTTGTTTTTGATACGTTTGGTTCCCTGGCCCTAGCGGTTGTGGAATTTCTTAACAGAGTCCAGCGGGTTGTGCATAGTATTATCTCGAACTCTATTTTTAGTAATATCGGGTTTGCTATTCAAAAGGGGATTGTGGTGTTGTTTGTTGCCCATTTGTTCACTACTTTTTTTTAAATTTGTTGAAAGCAGTCAATATAATTTTTAAAACATTTTGAAAAGCATTGAAATATAAAATAAATTTTTGATGCTATAAAAACTACCAAAGACATCCAAGTCTAATATTTTTAATCTTACATTTATTCTCATTCATAAAACAACAATAAAAAGTTAACCGTAAATGAATACTGACTTAGAACAATATATTTATATGGATGATCATGTATAACTTTAATTTTTGTTTTATTCATAGCAAAAGATACATTATTAGAAATTGTCTTTTTGAAACTTCAAAGGTAAATCATGTTTGAAATGATACATAATTCATTTTGGGCGTAAACCTTCCCTCGGACTTTGTTCCCTGATACTACAATTGTGTCAAAGATAATTTTTCAAAGTTCTTTAATGATTAACCTTATACTCCCTCCGTCCCCTTTTAGATTACAATATTCTCTTTTAGACAAAATTAAGAAAGAGTCAAATCAGTATTTTTTTCTCAAATTATCCCCAAATAGTACAAGAATGAGTGGGTGGGTGGGATTTTGACATTGAAATGATAGAGGGGAGGGAGGGTAAAAGAGTCCATTTGGTGTAAAAGTAAACACTTTGTAATTCTTTTTGGGACAAAAATAAGAGGAAATATTGTAATCTAATTAGGGACGGGGGGAGTATTACTTAACAATTCAAATGTTGAATAAATGTTCTTAAAAAACGTAATCGATAGAACATTATTCAAAACTATTTTGTAATTTAAGATTATCAAACATTTGATCTCATTCATAAACTTAGTTGTTATACAATAACCATTGCTCGTGAAAACATATGAATCTTCCTCCT